TAAACAGATAAATGACGGACAGTTCGCTTCTGACTGTTAATACATTGCAGTGGAAACCAGGCCTTTTTTCGTCTGATGCCAGCCCACTTGCTGTCAAGTCACTTTGGGGAACATCTTTCTAGCAAGCGTAGAAAGGCATATTCCTCCCCTAATATGAGTTTTCTATTTTATATAGACAGCATTGTGTAGCTTTCCCAAAAACAGTGCAATGAATCAGGATAGGGAATACACAAAATATTTTTCTGCAGCAATGAGAAGTTTCTGAGAAGTAATTCTGAGATTCTCTTTTACCCGAGAGCGTTTTTAGATACCCAGTACGTTATGGCAAAGAGACTTTAGAGAAAAGCAGTGACACCATTTTACTTTTTAAAAATGCATTCAGTTAAAATCTTGGGGCCCAGCCCCTATGTGTCATTCTAGAAGGCTCTATAAATTTTCGTTTGGTTTGAAGACCACAGGGAAGTCACTGGGTTTGAAAAGACAGCTCATACTTTGTCCTCCATCATTGTAAGCACAGATCTTCCTTGAATGATCTCTTCTTCTGATGGCTTATTGATAGTCTTGTTGAATTATTTCCTCATTGACCATTTGTGGTTTTTATAAAACATTTTATTAAACCAAGTCATTTATGCCTGCTAATGTGTTTGAAACTCATACGATTCAAAAAAATCATAAAGAAAAAGGTGGCTTTGCTGTATCATGAGTCTTCTTGTAAATAGGAGGGTTAGTATTTTCCTTTGCACGGTCTTTCCTGGAGGGTAGTTTGTTTCTGAAGAACTCTCCAAGGACACATTTTCATGAGAAAAATGTAATTACTATTGAAATTAATGGTGCATGATTACTTAAATTGTTATTAAAACATATATAATTAGTGTTTTGTAAATAAATGCTTAATGTAAAATAAAGTGCAACCCAAACAGAACCCTAAAGAATAATAAATCAGTAATTACCATGCAGATGATGCTGGAGATTATCACTGCTGTGAACAAGCCAACTTTGAGCTCTGAGAGGAGAGCTAGGTGCCAGGCGGCCTTGTGGCCTATTAACCCTTCTCTTTATAAGAGGAGACCCATGATGGGTGACACTGTAAAGCCACATTTTTGTTCACGATCTATTTGAAATGTGAAATTTTCAAACATATCTAACCGGACATATGTGAAGATGACTACTGGGGGTCTCGCTGTCTTCTAATTCTGCTCTGCTACTGGCTGAGGGCGCCAAGTCCGAATCGGTCCCCTCCTGGGTGACCAATTGCTTTTAAGTCGAGGTAGGGCTAGTGAAGAAAATGTCTCAAAATCTAATTCTCTTCATCTGGATGAGGATATTTCAAGGAATGACTTCATATTGAGTAGATAAATCAAATAGATTTATACTCATTAGGAGTCAGTAATGGATTAAATAACATGACTTTTCACAAGTTAAAGATTAATGGTCAGAGGAGTTATTTTTTACTTTGTAAAGAATATATATCAACTTGGACTGTCCATGGTTTTAAAATTATTTCTTATAAGATTTGATTATGATTTTTAAAAAAGATGTCAGAATACAGTTTCAAGGTGAGCATTGCCATTTTGTTTCCTCTAGAGACCGTAGACTTTCTCAGCATTCTGGTGTTCATTAACCAGCATTGGAAATTTGTTTTTGCATCACTTTTACAACCAATTTACAGGCCACTGAGAAGTGAGGTTAAGATACTTGTAACAAAATTGGCTTTGTCATTTAACAGTTACTTGTTTTGTATTGTACTTTTTAAAAATCGAAGTATAACATAACTCTAGAAAAGCACACAAATCAGTGATGTATATAGTTCAATAAATTTTTACTAGGTGAACACAGCTGTGCAGCAGGCACCAAGATTAAGAAATAGAGGCCCTTCCAGTCCCTCCGAATCCCCCTCGGTTCCGCCGCAGGTAACCGCCGTCCCGTCTTCTGACACCATAGGTTAATATTGAACACAAAAGTTAATTTCTGACTGTCAAGTGATGTTATCCAACTTGATTCCCCGTTATGCTCCTCAGACTTGTCTCGCTGACTGTTTGAATTTTATCAAATTAAATCCCCTTTGGGAAATAATGATTTGCCACTGCAGAGGACGGTGAAGTCACATGGGAGGTAGTGAGGACGTGACACCTTGCTAATCATTTTAACTCAATAGAATGGTGGCCCCTAATCATGTTCAGATACTTTAAGGAAGGACTTATTTCTTGACCTTGTATGATACCACGAAAATGTATTTCTCTGCTTTAGTGACTTTCTTCCGTGATGTTTAACGAGCTCTGTGACAGTCTCTGGTTCTCGGCTTCGGTTTTTAATGGGTGGCAACTGTGGTAGTACATTTTGCTCAACTGTAGTCTTGTTTTCTGCCCATTCAAAGTTTCTTTGATGTATGTTTTGAAGAAAATATATTAATAATGCTCCTTTTATTACTGTGTTCTTCGCCTGTTTTCATTTTTCGAAATAAGCAATCATGAAGAATTTCTCCAAGAAAAATACACATTTTCTTGTGAGATGGCCCAAAGGTTGAATTAAAGGTATAGGAGAAGAAAGGAAAGGCCAGCCCTCTGGTGCCTGTGCCTGCTCAGAGGCTTCTCACAATTCCTTTCTGCTCTGCTTTCCTGGGCTCTTTTTTATAAAATAGACTATTTTTTTATATGGGTTTTGTTTAACAGAAAAATCAGATGGAAAGTACAGAGAGTTTACATCTAAATTCTTACCCTTGCCCTTCCCACCCCCAGCCAGTTTCCCCTATTATTAACATTTTGCCCAAGTATGTTATATTTGTTAGCACTGATGAGCTAATAGAGGTACATTATTATTAACTAATGTCAGTAGTTTACATTAGGGGTCACTCGGGGAGGTGTACATTCTATTCTATATGTTTCGATAAATGTATAATGGCAAGTATCCAACATTGTGGTATCATCTAGAATTGTTTCACTGCCTTAAAAATCCTCTGTGCTCTGCTTATTCATCTCCCCTCCCCCAAACCCCAGGCAGCCATTGGTCTTTTCACTGTCTCTGGTTTTGCCTTTTTCACAGTGTCATGTAGTTGGAATCATGCAGTATACAGCCTTTTCACATTGGCCTCTTTCACTTAATGATACCCATCTGAGATTCCTCCAGGTCTTTTCATGGCTCGATGACTCTTTTCTTTTTAGTGCTGAATAATATTCCATTGTCTGGATATACAAACACACTTGATGTGTGGAGCCACGACCCTGGGTGCAGGTCCTATTTTCCTTTCCATTTCACTAACCGTAAGAGTTTAGCCATTATGGCTCTTGACCTCTGGGTGTTTACACAGCTTTTGTTGTTTTCTCCTGTTTTCAAGACTATTTATTTATTAAATATTTTGAATATGTCACTATCTGATGTGAAATATTTATTTTAGGTATAAAGACATCAGGAGTCAAAAGCTAAATCTGGCCCACTGGCTCCATTGTGTTTCTTTTAAAAAATTATGTCCACTTTTTGGGATCATTGGTGCTCCCTAGTGAGGAGAAGGGTAAAAGCACAAGTTAATGGATGAGTGGCCTCTGTTAGCATTTCAAAAGGGATGGTTTAGCAGTTCTATTGACAAAAATAACCATAATATATTCTCTTTTATTTTTTTAAAGAAATTGAGACCAAGAAATGAACAGCGAGAGAACGAATTGATTATTTCTTTCCTGAGATGTTTATATGAAGAGAAACAAAAAGTGCACATCCATATTGGGGAGATAAAGCAGGTATGGCATTTTTCTGTCTTCTTATAATTTTACCAGGATACTGTAGAACAATCTCGAGGATTTTATGATGCTCTGAAATGTGTTTTTGTCCTTGTATTTTATTTTGTTACCCATTTAGGGGAAATTTGGGAATACTTAGATTGTGCTTAGAGAAGGTGAGAAATTTCTGTCGGCATCATGGCGGGGGTGGAGCGGTTGTTGTGACAAGAGTACTGGCCTCGAGCGAGCGACAGGAATGGAGTGTAAGAGTGGACACCTCCACGAGGGCCACTTGACTGTGGGGAGCCAGTCTGTCACCTTCCCTTTTTCCTTGGCAGAATTACTTAAAAGTACCCGTAAGTTCTTTGTAATATAAATGCTTTGCGAAGATAAGATAGCTCTACTGACTCATTAGCTACAATGTTAGAGAGCCTGGGTTTTGTGCTATTCAGATACAGAACTTCCATTAATCCCATTTCGCGTAATGGAGGTGCAGGAGCTGCCTGCCATTCCCCACCAAACTGATGCTTTGTCTAGCTTTTCTGCTTGAGGGGTGGCCACCATCAGGTCTCTGCCTTTGAGGAGCTTCCAGTTTGGGATTCAATATACATGGTGCCATGTACTGTTTTCCTTTGTCTTTCAGACTCTGTGTTAAGTCAATTCATAATAACCATTATGGCCTCAAAACGTATACTTTATATTTGAGTTACTTAATGCTCAAAAATCAGTGAGGGATGTTCAAAAACTCCTTAATTTTCCAAAAGTATATTGTATTTTTTTTCAAGCACTCAATGCTTCTTCTAAAGGCACTTTAATGCTCAGTTGTGTGCCTCGTCCTGTAAAGAGCCTCTCTCTGCTTTACTGGTAACCTAACCATGGTACAGTTTTACTTGGATGCACACATAGCAACTCTCCCCATTTGATTTCTCCCTTCCAGCCGGCTTTGGCAATCATGTGCCATTCCTGAACTCTTAGAGCTCACGAACTGTGTCCGACAATCTTTTTAATCTCATTAGCCAACTGTAGGGTCCCTTAGCAGTGATGCTAATGCCAGTACACTCTCTGTGCTTTTGGTCTTTGGCCTTTGCGTGTTGACATTCCTGCCTTCCTAGCCTGTACCCTGCCAATAACGTAGGAGTTTTGTACTCCTCCTGTTCACTTTTGGATGGGCCACCCAGCCTGCTTTCAGTTAATTCTTTAGTTCACTTTCCAACCTATTTCTTTTCTTATTTCCATACTTCGCCCCACTTTTTTTGCCACATATAGTTTTTCCCTGTTCTGATTTTTTCCCCCTAACTTGTTCCAACAGGAAATTGATAATTTTGAAATAATTTGTGACTGCTAGAGGGGAATGAAACATTTATGGTGGATGGAAAGTTTTGACCCAAGCGCCAACTCATTTTTATGGAACAGGGTTGTATCTTTATGATGTGGGCATAGATTAACCCAGTGGAGAAACATATTTAATGTTGTTTTTTTTTTTTCATTTGAAAACATCAAAGAATTTAATGTAAAAGACCTAGCCTCACCACACAGAATTGACATCTGGGCAGCAGTTTCTCTCAAGGTTCCTAAACATTCTGTCACCCAGGAGACTCATGTCTGTGCCTATAAAGAAGTTGCCTTGACCCCCAGCTGTAGTTGGGTGTCTTCCAGGCTGGACACCCTCTCAAGCTTTTTAGAGCAACAGCCACTTAGTAGGTCGATCAGATGGAGCTTGGAGATTCACCCACAGAATCCTGCTCTCAGTGTCTTCTACCAAATAGTTTAACCACATGGAATCCATTACCTTCCTGGTGCACTGAAAATTCCTGGAGTCTTTGAAAATGTATTGTGACTTGACCTAGAGAGAGGTAGAACCATGGCTTTGACAACTTCTGTGGCCACTGGCCTCCAAAGTAGACAGAGGCTCAGGGCTGCTATTCTCTGAGCCAGTGGTGATGCCGTATGTGTTTTTTAAAGACTAACATAGTATTGAATAGCTGCCAGAGGAATCATTTTCATAAAATGGGAAACAAACTGAATGTATGTGTTCTCTGATCTTGTGGACAAGGATTCACTTTGGGCAAAGACCTATAATTTAATAAAGTTAGGGGGTATCATGTTTTAGTCACTGGACATATTACCTCTACTTGTATTCACAGAGATAATGCAAAAATTAATAATGTCAAATCAACTGCCACTTATTGAATGTTTGCCCTTGTACCAGATATGGTTCTAATTCTTTACGTGAATTATTTCATTTCTTTGAGGTGGGTGGTAGAATAGCGATGTTAGAGACAAGGACCTGAGGAGCACAGATCAAGCAGTTTGTTAGGTCCTGGTGGAGCCAATATGCCCGATGTCTAAGGACATTATCTTAACCGTGCTTTTTACGAGATTAACAAAATTTAATGTTATATAACTACCCATTGATTTGCCTGCCTCCATTTTCCAGTAGGATAAGTTTCTCTTTTTTTTTATTCTGACATTTTGTTACGAAAAATTTCAAACATACAGAAAAGTTGAAAGTTACAAACTGAGCACTCATGTACCTACCATTCAGATTATACTGTTTTTAACATTTTGCTATATTTGCTTTTCCATTTATCTATCCATCTATGATTCCACCTTACTTTTGATGCCTTTCAAAGGAAGTTTCTGATATCAGTACTCTTTCTCCCTAAACATCGTTAAGTAGAATTCAGTATTTGTTCACCAAATTTTTTAGATAAAATTTACATATTTGTAAGTTGCACAAATCTTGGGTGTACCATTTGTTGAGTTTCGAGGACTTTGTACATTCAGGAAGCCCAAACCCCTATCAGAGTTAGAGAGAATTATCCATCATGCCAGAAGGTGCCCCCATAACCCCTTTTCCAGTCAGCCCTCACCACTCTTTTCCCCAGACAACTATTTTAATTTCTTTCACCATTGATTAGTTTTGCCGGTTCTAGAACTTTTTATTAATGGAATCATACAGTTTGTGCTCTTTTAGCTCTGTTTTTTTTTTTCCACTTAGAATAATGTTTTTGATATTCATCCATGTTGCTACCTATATCAATAGTTTGTTCCTCTTTAGTCCATTGTGTCAATACTACAGTTTTTCTCCATTTTCCTTTTGATGGTACTAGTTACTATGAATAAAGCTGCTGTAGATACGTTGTGACACCATAGGGTGGTGGGTTCTGAACTAAGAACTTCAGTGTAGCAACAGAATTCAAAACTTGGCTCCAAACCTTCACGTTTAGAGTTCACCCATGTCTTGTGAGATGGGCAATATGACGACTGCAGTACCATTCACTCTGGAACTCAAATTAGAAGCTTTTCTAGGAACCAGCATCATCTTCAAAGGAGAAACTTCTTGGTGCTTATTTTACAATAAACAAGGAATACGATATTTTCTAAACATGAATTATTTCCTAAATGTGAATTGTTTTCAAATTATATTTGAATTATGATAGGCATAGAAAAGAATCTTATTAGATGATGGCGGAGAGTAGAGGAAATACTGAAGTCTGTACTGAGATTCTTATGGCATGGTTTAAAAAAGGAAAACACAAGTGTAGTTTTCTTCGGCCTGTGTAAGATCTACGCACAACTAGTCTTTTAGCTAATACTTTCTTTATATATCAAAAGAATCAATTCTAAATGCTTCTATTTTATGAAAACTTTTGGTGCGAGTTTTCAAGCAAATCCACAGCTTATTAATTTTGGAGCGAACTGGTGTTGGGTCCAAGGCAGCCCCATGAGGGCCCTTTGTAGACAATTCCCTTTGCTGCTACAAGTCAGGACAGGCTCTTATTCTTGATAAATGATTGCAAAGGATCAATTGCAACTAGTAGGGCACCTACCTCTGATGTGTAATGTTTAGCAGGCACTTAGTATTTGCTGAGTGTATCTGTTAACTTCCAGTGTCTGTTTCCCATGGACTTGCCTGGCGATCATGCACTCATTCCTTAGCAGGCAAGTATGAAGTGTCCAGAGTATGTTCAGTGTACTCTCTGAAAACACAAAGATAAATGATAGTCTACCTTCTTGAAGTTCTAAGCTAAGTCATTGTTTTAAGGCATGCTCTAATTATCATAGAAGTAAAACTCTCGATGAATGGACAAAGCCTAATGCAGCTCTTACCAGAACCTTTTCTTTCACTTTTACACTTTGAAAAATATATAACACTCATTGGTGAATTAGGATTTTATTATTTCAAAGAAAATGTAAAGTCTTTGAGCAGCAAACAACTGAATAAAATAGAAAATGCTTAATCACAGTAGGAATTAGGGGAAATCAAAGTAAGAGGCTTCTATACCTATCAAATTGGCAGAAATTTTAAAATCTGACGATGCCACGTAAAGATAAGTTCTCATGCTGATACTGCAAATATGAACTGTACTATTTAGGGAGAGAAATATGACAGTATCTGATACAGCTGAAGATGCACAGATCCTGTGACCCAGCAAGGACATTTCTAATTATTTACCTTGCAAAAAACTTTCACATATCACACCGATGTTCATAGCAGCATTATGCACAGTGGCATGGAAGCAACTGGAGTGTCCTACAACAGACAATTGGCTAAAGAAGCTGTGGTACATGTGTACAATGGAACATTACTCAGCCATAAGAAGAGATGAAATACTGCTATTTGGGACATGGGCGGCCCTTGAGATAATCATGCTAAGTGAAATAAGCCAGACAGAAAAAGTTGGAAACCACATGATATCACTGATATGTACAATATAGACCTAAAAGCAACAAACAAACAGTACAAAAAACAGAGACTCATGGACATGGACATAGACCAGTGGTTACCAGAGGGTGGTGGGGAGGGCAGAGTGGGGAGATAGACGGGGTAAAAGGAGTCAAATATGTGGTGACAGAAAGAAATCTATGAGAGGGGAACACACAATGCAATGTATATATATATGCCTTCCTGTTGAATTGTACATCTGAAACTTAATGGATTTCGTTAACCAATGTTACTATAATAAAAGTAAATTAACATAAGCTCCTAAAAAATTTCACGTGATGAGGAGCTGTGTACAAGAGAGGTTACTGCAGTCTTCTTTGTAAAAGCAAAAAAAGGAATCAATGTTTAACAACAGGAATATGAAGGTGTTACAATTGAATAGTGAAATACAACACCCTGGTTTAAGTTGAGTGAATCAAAGAACATTTGTCAACATGAATAAATCTTAAAAACAACATTGAAAGAAAAAAGCTAATTACAGAAGGATATGTACAGGATGATATGTTCATTTAAAGTTTCAGGTACATGTAAACCAACATACATGTGTTATGGATACATACATATATAAAAGTACAAAATATGAGTTGATATGATAAACATCAAAGTCAGGAGAGAGGTTATTTCTACCGATGGAAAAAGAATGGTTCCAGGAAACTTGAACTATGTCTCATGTGTTCTATGAAAAGTAGAAAGCAAATAGAATAGCTAATAATCACAATAGCTTTTATTGAGAGTTAAGTGTGTTCTGAGTGTTTTAATGTGTATTAATTCATTTAAATCTCATAACTGCTCTGTGAGGAAAGTTCGTGATGCATCCTCAGTCTGCATGTGGGGGACTAAGAAGAGCAGCAGGTAATGCCCTGCCCATGGCCACTTTGCTAGGGAGCATCAAAGAAGCATCTTACCTGGGCATTGAGCTCCATAGCCCATGCTCCTCACTGTTCTCAACACCCACAAAATGTTAACTTGGCCAGAGGGAAGGGGGCGGAGTTATGTGAAGCAATCAGGTAAAAATTTATAGAAACGGGAAGCAATTTATCTAGAGGGTTTTTTTTAAAAAAAATACGCCTCTGTTAATAAGTAACATTAAACTTTATTTAGTGGTTGGCAAACAAAACTATTAGTTGTCATTATGGTCAGTTAAAGGAGAGAAGCTTGGTGGCAGAGGAGAATGAAAGGGGTGATGAATACAAGTGG